AGTTGGAAAGAAAATACCAAAGACATGGAGATACATGTCTTTGTACTCATGAAGATAATTCATGAGTCTTATAAAAGTCACAGGTCTTCTAAAAGAAATATCAAGGTTTGGTTTAGATTATCTAAGACCAAAAATTATCAAACGTAAAGTACCTTCTATATTTGGGATATACTAACTTTTTATTAACAGAAGGAATTTCTAACTTATAGAAGTTATCTGGAAAAATGTAAATCGTGGTAAACGATCCAGAAATGCTAATGATAGAGGGCTGCTTTGTAGATGCTTAGTGCAATTTTCTTCTAAGGTACACAAATTAAAGAAGCTGTGGCACTGAATGTCTTTTCACTGAAGTTACATCTTAGCAGGCTACTGACCACAACATTAGGGATATTTGCCCACAGTATGAGAACGTAAAATCCATGTAGAAATAAAAATTATTGCATTTTCGATGGAAAATATATGCAAGGGTCATATCATATATCACACAAAATCCTCAGAAATGGCAAAACAAGAAAATAACGGAATGGTACCGACTGTTACTCTAAACAACTTGAGATACAACAGTAAAGTAACTAAGGAGGTTTTTCAAGACAAAATTACTAGAGTTTCATGGACATGACAAATTTGAAACAGAGCTGACAAGCAGTCTGGAATATTAGATGATGGATTGCTGAGAAACATAACTTTCACTTTAATAGAACGACGGCGTGCACAWAATTCTATCCCCCAGTGCTTTTCTGTTACAGTGAATTTAGTCCAAAACTGTAGCCTTGAGAATCTGAGTACAAATCTATCACTATAACRGGAATGAGTGCTTCATTTGGAAGGTAAGGGTTCTCTGTGCAAATTAATTTGTTCAGAAGTGTCCAGGTTAGCTCCAYGGGCCCTGGCCAGCATGCATCCCAGAAAAATGCCTGCTCTTGGTCTGGATGAAGGAAATGCTTTCTTTTACTTCAGCTGAGGCTCAAGAAGGCCAATAAGTACCCAAATGGTATTTTAGTAAGGTGACACACAYACTTTCTTGTAGTGCCAGTTAATTCCAGGGGGAAGAAGGAAGCAGTGGGAGAGGGGGAGTTTTTAAGGGGAAGATCAGTTACACAGATTTACCATTTTGTATTTGCTAATGAAGGCCCTGATGTGCATACATATATATACATATAAACATGTATAATTATGTATATATGTATATATGTATATATTCATATATATATATATATATGTATGATTTTCCTCATCCTTGAAAAAAAGTAACATCTGATAAAGCATTTCTTCCAAAAATTCTAAACTTCAATTAAGCAAAGTTAAAATGAAGTGAAATTATATATTTGACATTCGTATGTTATTTCAAGAAGAAAATAACTATACGACCTCTCATGAAGAAAAAAAAAWATCAAACTCTTTATCAGGCACATGAAGAACAGGAAACTATAAGACTGTATCCTTTGATATATCTGTCAGTAAAAGTTTTTTTCATCTAAGCTGCATTTGCAGGGGAAAAAACCATTTACAAATTAGCTCTTTCCAGGATTCACGGTTTRAAGTTTAAAGCCTGAAATCTTTGACTACTAAAACATACACGCCTTTCAAACTTCTGTGTTCTATTCTAATACAATTTAAGTGTATATCGTATACATTCCTTAAGTCTACTCTTATTAAATTTTGATGTTAAACAGAAAGGGGAAACCATGTGCAACTAGATTAATTTATCTCCAGGGAGTAAGGACACATTAATAATTGAGATAATGTTTTCATATATGTTGGAATCAAGTGTGCCTTTCCACTTCTTTATTAGAAAACACATTAGTGGAAAATTATCTCATTCTCATCAGTAAGACCTAATTGCTAAGAAAGTCTCTGTTTTCTTTGCAATAACAAAAGGATTATTCTCACCACTTCAAAAAAAAAAAAAAGAAGAAAAGAGTATCAGAAATATTATCAAGCACTGTTGGAATAAATGCCTGTATTACCAAAGAGAGTGTTTACTTAATACACCCAGTCCTGTTTTTGTTTTAAACAAATCAGAGTTTATTGTATTTTTATAAAACACAAGCAAACTCTAGATGGAATAGAAGTGGGCCAAAGGGAAAGAAAAAAAAAAAAAAAAAAAAAAAAAAAAAAACCAACAAAAAAAAACTACAACTGCAAATGACTAATATTTTTGGCTTTCTGGAAGACTGATCTTTCTGTAAGTTATAAAAAATTATCTTGGCTGATTGTGAGAGAACTCTATAATTTCCCATGAACACCCATAGGTGTCGGGGCCTGTTGTGAGGTAATGGAATGGTGTGTCATTTWCTCCGAGTCGTTGTGTATTATCCTGTGTGGATTACACACAAAGCAAACATTGAGGGCATGGTGGGAACACTTGTGCAGACAGGCTGAAGCGTATTTCCATGGTGCGGAACTRTACATCAAATGTGCTGCTTTTGATGCTTCCCACAACAAAGAGTATAAGAAAAAAATTGCCACCAAAACAGTAACTACACATGAAAGTGTTTGCAATAGCCCTTCTATTTGTCTGGTGCACACTGAAAACAAAGAAYTGTAAACTAAAACAAATATCTATCAACTTTGCAGTGATGAGAGAAAGATGTTAAAAGGTTGTTTACAATGCTAATAAAGTGAAGTTCTCTCCAAGCATAATGCTGAACAGTTAATGTGTGAACAGATTTGTATTTGCAGCTATCTGGAAGATACTGGTAGAAGAGAATTGACTAAACCACAGCTTTATAAAGAGACCGTGATGAGATATTCCTTTATCATTTACAGTGATTTTATCCACTTTYCTATACCATGTAGACTAAATGGATACAGACTATTCAGACACACTATTGCATTTTCTTTTACTTATTTTTATAGTTCAGGTTTTGCAAAATCACACAGTCTCTGATTACTTCCTTTTACTGTATTTTTCTTTATTAAATATTGGTTTTCTGATAGATAAAGTATGCCAAATTGAAAGACAAAACAAAGGAGAAAAAGCAAAGTTTTAACTAGACCATAGAGTTTGTGTTTCTTTGATAACAGTTTTCATCATTAAAAGAAATAATTCAAGACCATGAACTGCTGAGCAATACACTAATATTAAATTTAAATTATTTCTTATTTTTAATATAATTCAATTAAAATACATGCACTCATTTTRCACTCATTTTGCTAGCCAACAGGAAATTTGTGTTGTGTGTTAAGTGCATGAGAGCAAACTCGCACAAAAACTCAGCTGACAACCACTGATGGCCTGAAATTGGCACATAAAATAGTACCAGTTTTTATTTTTCCCTTAGTATCTTTCTGCTTTTTAGCTCTTAGTTTGYTTCTTTAAAAACTCTTGCTTCTTTCATTGCTTCAAAACAGTTTTCTAAGTTAACCTGAAAAAATGACTAAAAATTCTTGCCTATTTCAAAAGATATCATCTAGATTTCCAACTTGCACAAAAATAATTAATATTTTTTTTAAATTAAGTTGATAATGTAGATTTTTATGGAAAATATTATCTATTTATTTTATCTAAATTTCAATATTTGATGTAATATGTGGATCTGGAAATCTCATTTTACTATTATATGTTCTGTTAATTAGAATAGTCTAAACCACAATATATGTCTTAACAATTAGAGCTCCAAYGTCATTATAAAATGTCCCATTAAAAAAGTGTTTGAATAATAACATCCCAAAAACACTCTCATTATCATCACTGGGCTTTGGTAGGACCAAATTTAAATCCAAATTATCAAGATCTGCTATGCAWAAGAAATTCCATCTCCACTTGGGACAGCAGCAAAACTCCCAATCATTGCAATTTATCCAGTTTTGCTGAATACATTCAGGTGTGTTCTGAGACAGATCTTTTTAATGCAAAAATCTCCCCCTTGCCACAATGACTTTTTGGGGTAAATACTTTGAGACAAAGACTCCGATATGTTATTTTCTATTTTTTTTAATAAAGAAAATATACAGATGCTCTTAGGCTTCCACACCCCCAAATATCTTTCAAACATCTATTTTATTTCACTGTACACTCGCTGAAGAAAGCAAAACCATTCCTTGCATTGTCATGGACTCCTTATATTCTGAAAATTTGGATTTTGTCTAGATGAGCAAATACCACAAGCAGATCTACAATCATGTTTCTACGGTCATGTTTCTACTGACTGCCTGTAGCAGTTAGTCTGGAGGCARGCAGAGATTGCAGCTACAGAGGACTAAGCAGAACTAAAAATCACATTTTCCAGTACAAATCAAAGAAGACATGAATGGCAAAAGACTAGGAAGAGAGTGAGCTCTTTCTGATGTGAAGGGATTATACATTTTCTCCAACAGTTATCACAGTTACCCTCTCCGAGACAGGGGCAAATATTTTTTAAAAATAAGAATTAAAAAATCTTGAGGGATCTAAAAATGGCTTTCGCACAAAAATATGGGAACGTCATTAGGGAAATGCATGGGCAGTACAAGAGCAGAGCTGAGCTAAGCTGAACAAGCACTAACCCCTCAACAGTGCAAAGAACGAGGCTGTAGAGCAGGGTCCTGTGCTTGTTTCAGCAGCTTTTTGGGACTGGCTGGGGCACAGCAATGGTGCAGCATCCATCTCAACCCATATGAGCTGCTCTAATGTGACACAGCCGCCGCTGTGACCTGAGAGCTCCATCAGCTCTCGTAACTCCGGCCAAAATATGGAAAGCACCAGGTGCTGTAAAAGCTTCAGATGTCTCTGCCCAAGCCTCTCTACTCCACTTGACAGCACCCACAACAAATTGCTCTCCTTTTACAAGCCAACTGGAACTCCATGGTGTCCACTGATTTTCTGGCTACCTTTAGAGCAGCAAGGCTTCTGCTTGCACTGATTTTTCCAAGCCCACTTGCTCAGTTTATTTGAATCATGGGTTTGCCTGTTTTCACGGCTAGTTATGGGGCTACTACCGCATACAATCACAATCCACGTTTACTTCGCAAAGATCAAAYTTGACAAGGAAGGAAAGAAAAGAAAGGTGGTAACTTACTTCCCAGAGATGCTGAGTGTTCCTGATGGCACCTGCTTGAACCTTCTCCGGCAAGAGCAGGATTCCCTGGAAGGGCCCGATCCAGGTGCCCTGCTGGATGCGCTGTGCGGCGCAGATGCCGTAGGCGAGGCCGGGCACGGTGCTGGTGCACAGACACACTTCCCGGGGCAGGTCCCGGAGCCACTCGGGGATCTCTGGCGGAGGCGCCGCGGCGGCCGCGCTGCTGGTGCCCACCAGCCGGCGCAGGGAGTGCAGGGGCCCGTGCATGGGGCACTCCCCRTTGCGGTTGTCAGCGCACATGTCACATCCTGGGGACAAAGGGGGAAAGACACCGTCAGTACGGTGCTGCTGGCCACCACTGTCACCACTGCCATGAGCCACACCATGGCAATCCAGCACACATATACCCATCTGTGCATTGCTTAGGCTGGTTTCTCAAATCTCACCAAAGCCCTAAATCAGACATTCCAAAGGCTGAGCAGAAATCCTGCAGACCATTCGCAAGCCTGGTGTATTCACAAAACTGCCAAAACTCATTTACTTTAACAGTGTTTTTTAAGATGAATTTTCTGACTAATAAATAGCCCGGATAAACCATCCCAATGTGCTTCAGTGAGACATTTTAAAATRCAGTCATAGAGCCTTACAAGGCCCTCTCAATTGCCTTACCACAGCTCAGCCCACGGGCTTAATTGGAACAAGATTTAATTTAATCCTTATTTCAAATGAACATTCACTCTGGTTTTTGCATCAACATATGTGTGCATGCCTGTCTGCTCAGAAAATAAAACAAATAAAGCAGAACCCCRTGAATGACAAATTGGAGCCTGCATGTGCATTTACTTTCCTAAAGACAAATCTAATCTTAAAACTGTAGTTATGTGGCAAATATTACTAGTTCCTAGCACACATCTGAATTTTTTTTTTTTTATTGAATGAGAGCACGTGTTCTTTGCCTGTTACATGTAACTGAAGCTAGGCAAAAAACCAACACAGCATTACTGGGTTTGTGAACAATTCCTGTGAAAAAGATCAGTTTGGAAAAATGTTAATCTTCCTRACTGTTGTTAATAATGGATGACATGTCTCTCTCTTGGGAAGACTTTACCATGACTTTTCTGACCAAAGAAAATTTTGGTTAAATGTTTCCACTGCACACGACTCCACAACAAATGAATGTACATTTTCCCAGGAAAATGTTTCATGTGCAAGAAACTAATTTSTCTGGAGATATGCTGAGTTAACATAACAATGAATCTCTTGAAATAAGTTACCATCTTCTTCACATTTCATTTTTGTAGCACTATAAAGGTTTTTATATAAATTTATTCCAGAAATACAAAGAAAAAAACAATAATTATGCCATAGTAGTCATGTAGCAAGTCCTACATCTTTCCCATTAATAAYTTTATAAACCACTCTGATGACGAATGGAGCACAGAATTTGCTATAGAATCGGTGCCTCAGGTTTAGACTTGCTGGATTGCCTGCAACCACAATTTCAATTCTCAGGGGGCCAACTCAGATGTTCTTCTTTCCAAAGTGGATGTACCATGTGTTAAGTGGGCCTCTTTCCTATAGATCCTCCAAAGGAAAACCCTGCCCTCATTTCAGCAAAAGCTGATAGAGGATAATAAAAGATGAATCTTCAAAATATGGCTTTGATGAGTATTCTCCAGTTTTAGCCATGCTACATAAGAACGCTTTCCTGCCATCCTATTCTAAATTTTACYGTAAAAACCTGGTACATATAGAAAAATGAAAATATCAGTAAGTTAAATAGAAACTAATTTCCCTCAAAAYCATTGCACTTTTGGGTCTTGCAGAAAATGTGTGTCTCCACCCATAGTGCTCATCTGTTCAATCTCCCTACCCTCAGCAGCGCTCACAGATTTTAGCAGAAAACAAGAAGACAATCCCTGAGTTGTGCTTCCCTCGGATGGGTGCCTCTGCAGAAGAAGGGCTCTGTGGGAATCTGGCCCCAAGCCGTGCATCCCTGGCTGCACCGGGCAGGCGGCAGGATGGAGAGGAGCCGGCGGCGCGGCAGGACAAAGCCACCTAGTGGGGACCGCGCTCACCTCGGCAAAAGCATGGCTTGGGCTGGAGGGGACAATTTCGGCTCGCCTTAAGGACCATAATCCTTGCCGCAGAACGACTTCTGTTGGGCTAAACTGCAACTGCAGACGGGTTCTGCTCTCTCAGCCACGTCAATTAGAGAGGTGGATGGAGGATGGGATTTGCAGGACCCCAGGGAAGGCATTTCTGGCTAGTCCTAAAACAAGATACTACGCAGCAAATACTCCTACAACCGTTATGAAACATGATGAATAAAAGGCAGCAAGTACATGCTGGGGTATTTTTTTCTTGTTTGTTTTGTTATTATTTCCACAGCTAATTTGGAAAGTGAGGTATCACCACAGMATCTTTTCTTCTTTTTCCTCTTCAAAACCAGTCAGCAAGAAATTCTGTGGTTTTGGCATACCCAAAGATATTAGGGGCAGCAGTGTAGTTTGGCACTGGCAGTCACATAGGAAAGGATCACAAATAGGAAAAGGGAAGAAAAAACCCCACAAACAACAAAAAAAAAAAAAAAGAAACCCATAATCTGAAACAGTTTGGCAAGCTGCAACCAGATCATGGCTGAGCTCTATGATCTACAGCTGGACTTGACGACTTCCCAGATCTTTTCCAACCCAAATTGTTCTGTGATTCTATGAAATCTGACATCTACCCACGCAAATTAGAGAGAAAACATCTTACAGGAATACTGAGGACTTAAAGAAACTATTGCTAACCATTATGTCAATTAGCACCCAGGATAGGCCCTTAAATTCTACCTGTTTGGGCTGCCTCAATATTTTCTAGCTGTGTAACTCTCCTCACAACTACGTGATTGCAATGGCTTTTTTAGAAGAACTGTATCTCTGGAGAAATTTACTTTAAACATGCTAAGGCATCTTCATGACTCTACTCAGACAATATCAGCGTCAAGTTCCTGCATCCCGTCACCAGATATGGACAACTTTCCATGCACAAAAATTTGAGTAGCTGCCCTAGAACAAGAATTTCTTCACTTCATCTTGACAATATGTGCGCAAGAGTGTGGGTTAAATATTTTATTTCCACATTTCCAAGAAAAAGAAACTAAGAAATTGTCAAGGAGTATAAACAAACCCTGTGTCACTGTCACTTACCCTTACAGAAAGTCACACATGGTGATATTTATTTTCCACTGTCCAAAAACATTGGTAATGTCTTAATGCTTGGCAGTCACAGTATCTCATCCCCTGCTGCGTTACTTTCCCTTTGTCCTGCCAAAGTTGAAAATTTGGGAAATGGAACATCTTTTGAGACTGTTTTGGCTAATGGTTTGTTGATGAGAAGGGAGGAATCTGTCTTTAATACTAAGCAGTACAAAAATTCTTCTTAGTTTTATGCATCATGCATTTATCTTAAGTTGTTATGTAATTGTACAAATAAAATCTTTAAAAATTCTCATAAATATAATAAGGAGTGGAAGCCATCCTGGATATATTTTACCATGCCTGAAGTAGAAAGCTGCTGTGCATTTTTTCCTCTCTGTGACTAACTTTTGTGTAAAACGTGGAAGCATACATTTAAAGCCCGTCACTCTAGGCAGTAGATTCCTTTGCCTCCGAAGTCAAGGGAAGGATTTCCTTCACATCAGATTGGGAAAAAAAATCAAGAAGTCCAAGACTTGCACATTACCCTGCTTCATGACAGCATCAACAGCATCATCTTCATGTAGACTGCAGAATGCCGTGTGACACATGGYACCAACATGCTTAATGAGACATGGGAAAGAAGCGGGGCTTTGAGACGGAGATTGTTGCGGTCCACTGACATCCCTGGAGTCTCCAAACTGGACCATGGCCATTATGACCCATGCTGGTGCGGGGACTTCACATGAAAGAGATGCTGGTAGAGGTGTGAACTTTCCAGAGGACTGCCACACAGGGTGACAAGGAGAGATGGACTGTGCCCTTCCTCCAGTTTTGGCCTCAGAGAGCAGCTGTGTGTGAGTACCTTCTCCGCGGACAGCTGAAATGGTTAATTCCAATGTATGCAGTAGCATCAGTCAAGCCCCAAATCAGGCCAAGAAGAAGCAAGAAATGTGAGAAAATTGGAGGAGTTGCTGAAAAAATGGGAAAATAAAGGAGGGCTGCAGCCAGAGCAGAGTACATCCTGATAAAATCTAGAGATGTAGAAGGTGAAGATAGTGGCAATGCTCCACTGCAGGCCCAGATACAGCCAAACACTTTGGAATGAGATCAGTTTCTTACTTTATACCTTCATATTCCATAGATAAGGGAGGATTAAGGAAAGGAAGATGCAAGAAAAGGAAAATTAAAGGATTTCCTAGCAGAGCGTTTTGGCAGGATTCTTATGGAAGGATTGCAATATGTTACTGCTTATGTGCCTCCAGAAAAATGAACACAGTGTAACGCCAGTACTATAACTCCATGTGAGTACACTTAAAAGTACTAAACCTTAGCTAGAGGACATATCATTGCCTCAAAATGTAATTTTAAACACTCTCTAATATAAATAACACTACTTTTGCATGCTTTAAAGCAAATCTGAAAGAAAAAAAAAATTCACCCTAGTGAAAACAAGGGTTTAACACCATGTTTTTACCAGCAACCCAGCTGTAACAATAAATGAAAGAAATACATTTTTTCCTCAGCAATAATATGCTTCAAAGGTGCAGTTAGACTGGATACCTGCAGTTTGCTGGTATTAAAGAAGGGTGGCCTCTGACCCTCTGCTTCATAATTCACCACAAGCATGCAGGTATCCAGGGTAAGTGGCCATCATTTCACATGGTATTACTCACTTGCAAGTATAAATCACTACGGCTGGCCCTGCATCCCTGTCTGGGCCCGGGTACCCAGCTAAGCAGGAGGGAGGGCTGCAGAGAAAGTACCCTTTCGTTTCCTGAGGGCTGGAGCTTTCCAGGGAAGCACCGTCTCCCTCGCGCTTCAGTTTCCTCATCGATGAGCTGGTATCAACCTCCTTTTGCCAAATTAATAACAGTTTCTTGCGRACTGCCTGACTGGAGGCAGACTTTCACGGGGGACGAAACACAGACGTAGTTCCCGTCGGGTGCCGTGTATTTATTTGCTTATTTATTCTAAATACCCTTCTCAGAGAGCAGGACCAATCTCAGCCCACTGACCCGCGACCGTCACCGGCTCCCGGATCCCCGACCCGCTCTGTCTCCGGGCTCTTAGCCCCTTGCCCTCGCTCGCCATTCCCCCGCGGAGCAGGGCAGGCGAGCGGAGCCCCGCGGGCGGTGCGGGCGCTGTTCCCGCAYCAGCGCAGGAGCTGCCGCGGGGTCCGAGCCTCCCGCTCGGGGTCACTGAGGCACACCCCCTCCTGCTCCTTCGAGGAAGATGATGTTCGAAGGCCCGCCTGGGTGCCCCGGGGTGGGTCAGGGGGGCCGCCCYGCCTGCGAAGCGGCTTTCGGGTTATTTTTAAGAGGCGGATGGGGGCCGGGTTGAGAGAGGTGGATTTGATTTTCCCTGCCTTTTTCTGAAGGTATGAATGAATTAAATTTCTGTGTCAGGTATGAGAAGGGTAGGAGAATATTGTGTGTAGATAAACCTTGCCACCCTCTGCCCCTGAGAGACCCCCATATACAATGTAGAGATGATGAATAGGCTCTAGCAGAGGAGATCGAAGTTCACTCCGCACCAGCTCCACTCTCTCCTACAAAACTATAGGGCAATTAATTGTGGCTTGTCCCCTCATCCTTCATCTCCTGGTGGCACATATCGATGGAGATTACTGCTGATGGACCATTTTATCACCCTAAATAAACAGTCACCACCTTCTCTAACCTCAATCTAATGTATGGCTATCTGCTATGTTTAAGGGTGCGGGTAACTAATGATGTAAAATAGCTAAATCATACAGGTTACCAGCAGTCTAGAGAGAAAAAAAAAAGAAGTCCAAATATTTTACACACCGATCCACTTCACAGCGTGTTATATATGCACTGTCTGCCCATAAATTGAATGGGAAAAGGCGTGCAAAGTGCTTGGTCGCGTGACACTTCAGTTTTACACGGCGTATTTATTACAGCGGCAGGTTGGTGCGTTCTGCTGGAGGGAGAGGAGTCTCAGAGCTCTCAGTGCGGCAGATAGCGACAAGTCTCCACCGAAACCAGCCGGCCTCGCAGCCCCCCAGACTCACCCTAGGAGATCTCCTCCTGGCCGCCCGAGCGCCCCTCCCCCAGCGCCCAGAAATACCCTCATCATTCCAGATTCAAGGCTGGGAAGCAAACGGTCCCCAGCCGCCTGCCACATTATCAGGGCTTTAACATAATCCCYTTTACTTCCCTGGGAGTAAAGACTGCAGGGCCCTAATTAGGGTTTTGTCTCTTGATTGCTTTTTTTATTATTATTTTTCCCTAGCTAACCCCCTTTCAATTTAAAACAATTACATACAGACGCTTAACCCGCAGCTCCTAGGCGGCCCTCGCCCCCCTCCCTCGCCCGAGACCGTGCCCTATTCATTGATATTTGACGATCAAGGCGTGCGTCTATGGGGAAACCGCCGCCCATCCATCTTCCCGCGGCGGCCGCCCGGCGCCGGGCCGGGGCTGGGGCTGGCGAGCGGGGCCGGGCTGGGACTGGCGAGCGGGGCCGGGCGGGGTGGCTGACGGCCCGGAGCGCCTCGCTCGCCGCTCGGGCTACCCGGGCAAGCCCGGCCACCGCACCCTGACCCGCCGCAGCCAAGCAGAGCGGTCGGGGCACACGCGGAGTTCGCCAGCGCGTCTCCCGAGAGGGTGGGACCTCCCGGGGAGAGAGGACACGGCGGGGAAGAAGGGGATGCTCGGGTTGGAGAGAGGGGGGTATTTGGGAAAGTAGGGGAGCCGGGGCACTCGCTCGGTTGGTGAAGAAGATACGGCTAAGATGAGAGCCCGAGAAGCAGACGGAGGCCTGCTGGGCCAGGCAGAGGCGGCGGCCCACATCCCCGCTCCGGAGAGGGGATTGAKCCCGGCGGGTGGGTGTCCGTGCCGGGCTGGGGAGAGCCCGCCCGTCTCGGGCTCTTGGTGGGGCTGCCCGGAGATGGAAGTGAAGCAAGCAAATACAACTCACACTAAAGTAGACGGCTCCTTATTTCACCCACGCCCCCCAAACGGCAGTGAGGATGGGAGTCATGCGAAACGGGGAGTGAGGATGGGAGTCAAGGCGATTGGAAATCCCACCTGCCCACGGACCCCAGGCGTGACCCCGGCGGCACTCGGGGAACCGCGCAGGGGCAGCCAGGCCCGTGCCCCGCGGTTTGTTCCCTTGATCGTGCGAGTGCGTGGCACGGCATAGGCTGTAGTTGCCGCACTACTTCTTCATTTACTGTTTCCTTTTTTCTTTATTTTTTTTTTAAAGCACGAGTTGCCCAAAGCAACTSCACTTGGTCCCAGAAGGCTGAAACACTCGTGTCAAAAGTTTTGCTCAGAGGCAACTAATAGTCGCTGAAGCGAAAACCACCCTGTAACAAAGTAAATTATAAGAATTTTTAGATCTAGCTGAAGACAAAAAAAGAAGGGGGCGAGACGGCACTGGCTGTCCCCCGTCCGTCCTTCCGACAGCTACGACTGCCCCGTCCCGATTCACTAGGGTCCTTTCCGCAATCGACCCGTTTGCTTTCCCGAATACACTTTTAATATCGCAGCCGGGAAGAAATTATTCAGCG